GATGAGAATACGGTCTGGACCCGTGATTTCAATGGAATTGGGAATTCCCCAGTGAGGACAATTCCTTCTACCAGTTTAGGGCTTCACTTATTCTATAATTTATAGTCTTAGGAGAGCTTCCTATTTGAACTCAAAGGTTGAATGATTTGCCATGAGTCACCCAGCCCAAACGTCAGAGACAAAACTTGAACCCTGGTCTTCTGAGGTCTGAGGCTAGCTCTGTAGCCCTGAGGCCTCTACTATACCTCATGCCTTCCTGGCTCTCTATCTCTGTCTATACTGTGTTCCCTCTCCACACAAAAGAAAAAAGAAAGTAATTTGGCAGGGGTAGGGAGTGGGGATGAAGAAACTGAGGCCCAGAGAAATGAGGTCACCCCATGGGTAAAGTGTTAGAATGGAGGTAAGTAGATAGGGCAACAGCCAATGGCTTCCTGATAAGAGGTAAGCAGTTCCCCAAAGTCGGCGTCCTGCCTGCCAACCCTACGGAAAGCTGGGAACAGTTTTGCTCCTATTCATATATCACTCCTCTTTCAAACTTACTTCTCACTTTTCTCATTAACGCTCTAGGTTTCACGAAGGATTCTAAATGATCATGCATACTCACAAATTATTGTCAGAGCACAGACCGCCTTAAAACAGCAAACCAAAAGAGAGTAAAGGCAGGGTTGGGCCACTCCTAACTTCCATTTAGAAAAATACTGAGCAATGGAGGGGAGAGGGCAAGGGGAAGATTCATGTAGGGGTCAAAAGCACTGGATTCAAATCATGGACCTGTTAACTTACCACTTATGTGACCTTGGGTAAATCACTTGACCTCCATGGACTCCAGTTTTCTTATCTGGAGAATGAGAAAGAACTAGATTGGGCCTGTACAACCTTCCACAGATTGTGTAGGCCTGAATTAGATTGGTGGTGTCAAACTCATAGAAATGGAGCCCTGCAGGCCACACATTGGCTTAGAAAACCACAAATTAACATTGTCTCTGATGTACTATATTTTTCTTCATATTGTTAACCATTTCCCGAGCACATTTTAATCTAATTTAGGCAGCACTTGGGGGTGTTGAGGGCCCTTCCTGAACAGCTGAGGGCCCCAAGTTTGACAGATCTGGACTGGGTGTTAATTAAGATAATAACAGTAGCTATCATTGATAAGATGCTTTGTATAGAATAGAGCTTTACAAATGTACATTTGCAAATGTAAATTTACAAGTGTCATTTATCCTCACAACAACCCTGCAAGGTCAGTTCTGTTCTTACTCTCATTTTATAGATGAGGAAACAGGCAAACAGAAGTGAAGTGACTTGCCCAGGATCATACAGCTGGTAAATGTCTGAGGCTAAATTTGAATTCAGGTCTTCCTGACTCTTTAGGTCCAGATTTCTATTCACTGAGTCACAAGCTATTTTAGAACAGCTACACAATTCTTTGTTACTGTTGCCTATACAGGAAAAGACTCAAGGCTTAAGGCTCCTTACTACTACCACTACTGCCACCACTAATGTCACTACCATTACTACTACTACCACCACCACCACCCCTATTACTACTACTACTTCCACCACCACTACAACTACCACTACTACCATTATTACTATTACTACCATCTCTACTACCACCACAATCACTACTACTACTGCCATTACCACTACCACTACCTACTTTGTATAAAGCTTGAGGGCTGAAGGAGAGAAACCAATACATCAATCTCAGGACCTTTCAGGGACTTACAATCAGGCCTATATTTATTTCCCTGAAACTCACCCGTTGTCCTTGGTTCTAAGCCCTCTTTTGCAGGAGAGCTCTTCAAAGACTGAAATGAAGCTAGCATGTGCCCCCAACACTTCTCTTACTCCGACTAAATATCCTTAGTGGATTCAGTGGATTCTCTCATGGCATGGCCTCCGAGCCATGGAGAGGCAATAAGGTGCTGTGAGGAGGGCCTTGGACTTGGCATTTGGAGGACCTGGGTTCACACCTTACCCTTAGACACTAGCTGTGTGACCCCAAGCACGCCTCTGAGCCTCCATGCCTCAGTTTTCTCACCTACAAAATGAGGGGGGTTAGACTCATCCTTCAGGTTTCTTCCAGCATGATATCTGGGACTGTCTGTTCAGACAGCCATAGGAACCCTCTTTTGGGCATGTCTTGCTTGTCAAAGGCCTTCCTAAAAAAAGGTACCCCCAAATATGACGCAGTACTCCAGATATGTGCTGATCAAGGCGGAGTATAGCAGAATTATCACCTTTTTCAATTCTTTTTATTTTTCCATCAGCAAAGGATAAGGAAAGGCTTTTTTGGGAATTTTAGTTTAGGACTTTTAAGATTTATACTACATTCCTGAGTGGTGACTCCTGACCAGGACCATAGTATATTCAAGGATCTTAGGATCATAGCTTAAAAGCTGGAAGAGGCCTTGGAAGACATTGAATCTAACCCCTTTGTTTTACAGCTGAAGGAACGAAGGAACAGAAAGGTTGTGCCTTGGTGTCTAGGGTCACACATCTAGTAAGTGTCAGATGGAATCCGAATCCAGATCTTCCTGACTAGTGACCAATCTAGTGAGAGTGCCAACCTACCCTGCTGGTCAGTGTACTCATGGGACACCGGACAGGTAAGTAACTGGGGTGGGGAGGGGACTTCCAGTTGGGGTTGGAGAATCCCCAAAACAAGAAATACCCCAGCATGGTTACAGTTTCTGTCCATGGTGGATGTGATTGATGGAAATGATTGATGCAGAGAGATTTGAAGACGTTGGGAAGCCCATGAGGCAGCTCAGAGGGGAAGGTGTGGGCATTTGGGAGGAAGACATAAGGCAGACACATGTGGGAGGAAGCTGGAGAATGGGAAGAAGTACATGAAAAGAGATTTGGCTGACCACTGGTGGCAGCATTTCTAGGCTTACAGCCACCATTTACGGTGGGCACCTAGTGTCAGAGTTTCTCAGTGATTTACTATGAGGGAATAGGGGATTTTTGTTTGATTAGTGCCTGAGATCCCAACGTTCCTGATCTATTCCTATCACCTTCTTGAAAACATAAATATCCCCTTAATCCGCCATGTAAATTAGTCCTTTTGGTCCTTTTTTTTTTTAAAACAACATAAAGCTACATTGTTATGGGGGCAGGGCATGAGGTAGGGGAAGGAGGGTGGAAAAAAGGAAAGGAGGACAGAAAATGAAGGCAGGGTTGCCAAATTTCCCATCCATCACCATTTTGCCTAGAACAGGACCTCGAAAATCAAGGCAATAGTTAGGAATTCTTGAGACAAGAGCAAACTCAGTTGGGATTGAGGAGGCAGAGCATATCAGAGGTCAGTACTACCAGAAGTGCTGTCTTACAGGAAGAGGGGATGGTCAGTCTCCCAAGAGAGTCCAATCTGTGACTGCAGGGGGTTGGGGAAAAGTAGGATTCTGGGCTGGTGGCCCAGGGCACAGTGGTGAAGGAGTACTGAGCCTGGGGTCAGAAAAACCTGAGTTCAAATCCGGCCTCACACACTTCCTAGCCATATAACTCTGGGCAAGTTACTTAGCCTCTGTCTGCCTCACTTTCCTCAACTATAAAATGGTAATAATAGCAGCACCAACATATTGAGGATCTAATGAGATAATCATTGTAAAGAGCACTTAGCACAGTGCCTGGCACATAGCAGGCATCATATCAATGCTTATTCTCTTCTCCTTCCCTTCCCCTGTGAGGTGAGGCATGGGGAAAGCTATTACTCAAAGAGGAAGCATGCTCCTTGGTACAAAACTCAGTGACTCAGGCTCATTAAGAAGAGCTGAGCCTGGGAGTAGATTGGTTTTCAGAACAGAAGACAAAGAGAAATAGCATTCTCTTACCTGGGACTGTCTACAAATGAAGACAGTCTGGAGGACTTGGGTTCAAATCCTCCCTCTTGCCACTCACTGCCCGTGAGGCCTGCAAGTTACTTCTTCTTCTCAGGGTCTCATTGTCCTCCTACGGAAAATGAAAGGTTTGGGTCAGATGTCCTCTGAGGTCTCTTTCAGCTCTGACTTGATGAGTATGATGGGAAGGGGACAGAATTTGAAGTTGGGTTTGAATTCTGCCATTAACTCCCTGTGTGACCTTGGGCAAATCATTTCATGTCTCTGGGCCTCAGATCCTCATCTGTAAGGTGGGAGTAATCATGCCTGTCACATCTATGGCTGTTCTGAAGCTTAAATGACATGATACACCCAAAGCAGCTCAGTGTCTAGCACTGGATTGGGATTTCAGAGAACCTGGGTTCAAATCCTCCCATTTCCCCAATACTACTTGTGTGATCCTGGGCAAGTCCCCTGACCTCCAGGTACCTCAGGGGGGGATAGACAAGATGATCTCTATGGTCCCTTCCAGCTCTAAGGTTATGAACCTGGGTTAAGATAAAGATATTTTTAAAAAGGACCAGGTCGATGCATAAAAAGACAAAACTGGTAGGAAACTTCTAACTCTTAAAGGCAAAATAGCGAGGTGAGGAGCCAGGGTGGAAATTCAGGCTCTGTATTGAGAGCTGGGAGATTTGCCTGGAAAATAAATGCAGACTAAAATCATCTCTGCAAGGCCCAGGATACCGCAGGAGACAAAGTCAAAAAGCAAGGCAGGAAGGTCAGTGTGATGCTGGAGAGAGACACACAAATGCCAACAAATTAAAAACCGAATCTGTGCTGCTTGTTACAAGGTCTCGGTGAGTGGCTATAACTTCTAAAATATTACAAGCTTTATGGGCCTGCTGCACCAAGGAGATATCTTGATCTTCCACAGAGAAGAGAGGTAGAGGATATTGAATTTCTGATTAGGCTCGCTGCCTGGTGCTTATTAGACCAGCTCAGATTCCTCCGGTGGGCCGGGGCTCGTGTTGGTAGCTGGCATAGAAGTGATTATTAGATATACATCAGGGTGCCCCTCCAGAAAGGTTTGGCCAGGAGGAGGTCCTGGCAGGGGTGGGCAGGTGAGCAGAGCAGCCATTTTGCCTTTCTGGCCAGCAGAGATCACCAGAGCTCACATGGGTGGGTGCACCAGTGTCTGAGAGCACCCGCAGGGGAGGCCCTCAGGAACTGCAGGCGCTGCTGAGGCCTGAGGTTGGCATCGAGCCTGGGGCCTGCTGGTAGGGCTTGGAGACTCGCTTTAGCCTCCAGCTGACCCATGGAGGAATCCTGGAATCTGGGCTGGAGGGATGGGAGCAAAAGTTGTTTAGGCACAGAGAAGGGGAATGTCTTCTTTCTCCTCTCTGAGCCAGGAGAAGCTGCTCTTCAGGCAAAGGAGATGGTGCCATTCCTGGCAGGTAAGGTATGTGTGATGCAAAACCGGGTGGGGGAGTCCCTGGTGAAAGGCTCCTAATCCCCACTCAAGCTGGCCCACCACATTAGAACGCAATGTGAAGGGAGGCTGGAAAATGGGTTAATAAAGTGAGGGTTTTGGTTTTTTAAGAGACTTTGTAAATAATATGCTATCGAATACATAGCTGTCTTCTCCTAACTTACTCTGCTTGCTTGCTTGTTTGTTTGCTTTTTGTTTTATGTTATTCTGGCCTTGTGATGGTATAGGTGTGGAAATTCTTTCCACCGATGCAGATAGAGAACTCAGTTGTGACTCAACACCTACTGAACACAGAGGGCAAATGACTTGCCCTTGCTCCTACCTCGCTAGAAGGCGGGTAGGATTGGAGCCCAGATTTTGTTGCCTGTGATGTTTTAGACTCGCCTGGGGCACATAGGAGTTAAGTGACTTGTCCTTGGTCTCATAACTAGGGTCAGAAATAAGATTGAACCCTGATCTTCTAATAATAGCTAATATTTATATAGTACTTCCCATGTTCCAGGAACTGTGCTAAGTGCTTTAGAAATATTATCTTATTTGATCCTCACAACCGCCTTGGGAGGTAGGTGCTATGATTATCCTCATTTTACAGATAAGGAAATTGAGGCAAACAGGGGTTAAATGACTTTCCCAGGGTCATATAGCTAGCTAGTAAGTGTCTGAAGCCAAACTGGAACTCAGGTCTTCTGGCCTCCAAACTGGCCCTTTTTCCATTACTCAATGCCGCCTCTTTTTAAACCAGCTCATTACATAAGGGGAAAACAACCTCATGTGTCCCAAGTAAGTTTGTGACCTCCAGGTGCACCGCCTGAAATGGGGAGCTCAGACCCTTCCTTTATTCAGCTCATCTCCACTGGTCCCGGGTCTTTCGTACTCAGGGCTGCAGGAAGGAAGAGGTGCCAATACTGACCAAATGTAGCAAACATCTGTGATGAGGTCACATTCCATTTGTCTCTGTGTTCCCTCCTCCCAGCCTCTAGCTGAACACACTGGGGAAAGCGGCCAGGCTGGCTCCTCCCTTGTTCCTTCCCTGCTTAGCAAATGACTCTTCATTGTTCAATCAGTGACCCAAGCAATCAATTAGCTGGATGAAGTCAGCAGAAAAGTTGCCAACATGCCCAGAGCTCCTGTAGTCTCCTTCTTCCCCCTCCCAGAACCACGTGGTTTGGGGGGCTTTCAGGATGAGAAGCTGACAGCTGGACCCTCATCCCTTCCCAGGAATGAGATCTGCAATAAAGACTGGGGGAAGGATGGAGGGGGTGGCCCAGGGGTCCCCCTTTGATTGAGCTGTGCCTAGTCAAAATCAATAATAAATAAGTAAAACACCAAGGCTTACTCCTTCTCCCTTCCCACTCTACGACCCGCAGGCTTGTCATTTCCTTCCTCTGGTCTCATAGTCTTAGGAAATGCCAGACACTTTCCATTGTGCGTGTCTTAACTGCGGTCATTGTGAGTCCTAGGTTCAGAACAGATGGGCTCTGGCCAAATAGTTTTCTGATCAACTTTATCCCTTCTCATGCTTTGTGGAACTGCTTGGGGCAAACAGGCTCGGTTTGCATCCAGTCACCTCCTTAATTAGCCTGAGGCACCATCTGCTGGTGGCCTACATCAGTGTCGCTTAGCTGCCCAGCTAGCTGCTGACGCCCTCCTTCTCCAGCCCCCTGGCCTTTTCCCCAGCTCACTGGCCTGGAAACTACCAATGGGAATTTTCAGCATAGGTTTCCCCAAAGCTTAGTTGGTTTTCTATTTTAAAAAAAAAGTATCCCTGTAATAAGTGAAAGATGGATGGAAAGTTGGACAGGGTTTCTCTAAGGGAGATGGTATAACTTGGTAAAAGCAGAGACATAGTTAGACTTCGGGAGACCTAGCAAGTGGTGGATGATGGCAAAAGCACTAGTTCTTGAGGCCAGAGGAGTTGGGTTCAAATTCTACATTGGATACCTACTGCTGGAACCAATGCTGGGCTCCAATTGGTTACTTTTACCTTATTTTGCCAGGAACCAAGACTCTCTATCACTTCCCTGGGCTGTCTCCATGCCACACCATTCTCTCTGCTTCCTTCCTGCCAGAATATTGGACTCTGCTTTTGGAAACATCCTGAGTCCTTATTGGTGAGTTTTCTCTTCTTCTTGCCTAGGTCTGCGTCTTCACCTCACTTCTTTTTCCATCTGTACTACCTCACTTCCCCCATTAAAATGTAAGCCTTTTGACGGCAGGCATGTCTTGAACTGCATTTATCTCTTTAATATTTAGCATAATGCCTGGTACACAGTAAACATTTAATAACAATTTTTATCTATCTAATCCATCTGTCTGTCTGTCTATCCATCCATCCATCTATCTGTCCATCTATCTATCCATTTATCTATCTACTTGAATGACCTTGGGTATATCACAGTCTTCGCAGGCCTCTTTCCTCAGCTGTAAAGTGGAGGCTTGGTCTAGATGGTCCCTGGGGTTCCTTCCAGCTCATAGTCCATAGTTGAATTTCTAAAATCCTAAAATTTCTAATGAATTTTATATTAGCTTACAATTTAGGATCCCAGATTTAGAGCTGGAAGGGACCTCAGAGGCTATGAGAGGTCTAACTCCTCCTTTTACAGATAAGGAAACTGAGACCCAGGATAACATAGATGGTAAGTGGCAAAGGTGAGATTTGGACTCAAGCCCCGACTTCAAAGCCAATGCTCTTTCCAATGTACCACACCACTTCTATTTATTTAATTTTAATTAAATAAATTAATTTAAATTTAAATTTAAATTAAATTAAAATAAAATTTATTAAAATCATTAAAATTAAATTAAAATTTTAAAATAATTAATTTTTTTTCAGTTGACAAGAATGTACTTTCTCTCCTTCTGACCTTCCTCCATTAAAAAAAAAAATTTTTAATGAATCATCAAGCAAAACTAATTTCCACATTGGCCATGTCCAAAACAACATATATCTCATTTTGCACCACGAGTCTATTGCCTCCCTATGAGGAGCAAAGTTCTGTTTCTCTTTCTACAAGTGGTCTGCTTAAGGGGAGTTACACAGATCTCATTATCCTTACTTTACAGATAAGGAAATTGAAGCTCAGAGCAGTAAAGGTTGGTTTATCCCAAACAATACAGCTGCTAAGTGGCCACACTGGACTCACGCTCGGGTTTCCTAAGGTCAGACCCAGTTCTTTCCATTACCCCACAGTTGCTACTGACCTTTGTGGACAGCTGGAGCCCATGTCCATGAAAATACATCCCATGTATTTCACAAGGCTTCCCAAGGAGCTGGGGGACAGATACCCAAGAACTAAGCCAGGCAAAAATGACCAAAAGCTACCTTTTGAAAGATGACCAGGAACACTAAGTTTACTCAGGCTGGGGAAAGCATAAAACAAGGACTGTGAGCCCCTCACATCAGGAAATCCTGACTTTTTCAGTGAGATCAAAGCAAATTCCACTGCATTTTATAAAAGCGTTTAACAGGAGAAATATGTAACTAGCAAGGAAGTCCCTTTTACCTATTGGTTTGGGCTGCTGATAAAAAAGTTCAATGGCAGTGCAGCATTGGTAGTGCCATCCTTCTTCAAGTGTTGGAAACACTAATTTGGAAAACTTCAGGGAGTAAAGTACCCTAAAAACTTTTAAGTGTCATAGAAATAGGAATTTCATTGTTCCCCCAAATCCAGCCCCACGTGTACCGGCTGGCAGGGTGGATCCAAGGGGCTAACTCTTTCTCCCCTCCCCTGCACATGTCAAAATCACTTTATATCTGTGTATGTGATTTCCCTAGTAGAATATAAACTCCTTTGTTTTTGCCTTCATATCCCCCAGTGCCTTGAACAGTGTCTGACATTAAATAATCACTTGCTAAAATATTTGCTGATTGGTCAATTCATTTATGGGATGTACCATCAGACAGACACGGGCAGGCATACTTACAGACATGGCGTTTGTGCGTGGCATCTTCCTTCTGATGATCTTGGTTGTTGGAAGGTGTGACAAAAACTATGCTTTCTTATAGGTCTCCCGGTTCTCAGATTGTGGGGGCATTACTGTCTTACTTCACCTAAAGTTGTTCTGGCTAATACCATTTCACAGTATTGACAGTCATGTACTAGTATTAAACCCCATTTCACCTTGGAGAAGCTGCTCCATCTCCACCCAGAACGTTCAGCCAATAGTTTGCTTGCAAAACTATTCCTATGGAAATGAGAACCCCTATAACATTTTTTCACCAATGTTTTTTTTTTCACAGAACCAATTAATGATTTTAGCTAGATTATACTCATATTTCCATTGCTCTGATAAAGGCCTCATTTCTCAAATATACAGGGAACTGAGCCAAATTGATAAAAATAACAGCCATTCCCCAGTTGATAAATGATCAAAGGTTATGAACAGACAGTTTTCAGAAGGAGGAATCAAAGTAATCAATAGTCACATAAAAATGCTCTAAATCACTACTTATTAGAAAAATACAAATTAAAACAACTCCGAGGTACCACTTCATACCTACCAGATTGGCTAACATGACAGAAAAGGAAAATGACAAATGCTGGAGGGGATGTAGAAAAATAGGGACACTAATGCATTGCTGTTGGGGTCGTATACTAGTCCAACCATCTTGCCTCAAAGCACTACGGGACAGCAAAAACAACAGTTATCCAAGAGTAATATTGGCTGGATTCAGAAGAGTGATAGTCAATCAAATCAATCCATCACTTGCTGTGACACCATGTTTTCCATGGAATAGCTGTTTAAGGCAACTTCTAGGATATATTCCCAGATGCAATGGGAAGGGGTTTGGTGACCATTTGGGAGTAAAAGGACAGGCCAGAAAAATGTCAGATCTGTCTCACTGCAGCTGACCACTTAACCAAGGCCAAGGGAACAAAAAGACTCATGGGCCCAGCATTTCTCTCCTATTTTTAAGACATCAGGAACGAGTCAAATTTTCAAGGCCCGTCCATTGTGACCCAGCTAGCTATTTCACAATAATTGTTCCTCCTAAGTCATCATTTCCCTTTTTGTTGGCTGTTTATAAGATGAGAAATTCAGCATTTGTCTTGGGAGAATCTCTGTGAAATTTTCCAAGATTCCCCTCTGAAATGGATGATAGGACTAGCCAGCATCAGACCTAGATATGCCACATGCATTTTGTTTGAGCTCTTAAGGCTAATGGAATTAACAAATCTCAGTGTTTGAGTTTCACCTGGGCAGAAACCTAATCCTTTTGGTAGGAAAAACACCAGTCCAGTAAGAAAATAACATATCGCTCAATCCTCTGTAAATAAAACAGCCAGATCAATTTCTCTTCTGCCTATGAGTGACGACCAATTTATCAAATACACAAGCAACAATGATTTTACATGGAGACGGCATCTTATGATGTGTTTCTGTACTTGCTGCATTATTATACACAACATCCAGTTTATGGAGTTAGGAAGCATCTGCGTTTCTCAGTAATGTGTCACCATTATCTAGAATGAGCAATAAAATTTAGGATGTTATATTTTTTCTGGCTACAAACTTCAAACAATTAATATTCCTATAAGGCCATTTCAGCCACAAGCACAATTTAGAAATTGCTTGTTCAATATGATGATTAAATTCCTGAGCTGGAGCCAGAGATTTTTGGACTTCAACAACTTCAAAAAGGAAGAATGTGAGACAGTTGGATAGAAAAATTTTAAAGGAGACACCTTCACCTTAAGAGACTGTGGTATTCACTCTTAGTCATGGGAAAGAAGAGAATGATTCACCACCATTTCCTTATATCCAAATACGTCAGGAGCTCCCAAAACTCTGAGTCGGCATCACTGATGGAAGCCAGGCCAGATTCCTGTTTAGAACTGGAATATTACCTCAATGGACTGCAAGAAGTTTGAACCATTCCTCACCACCTGAGGGACTGAAATGAGTCATGTTGACTTTGCTCGTATATACCACCCGTCTTTAACTTCATACATAAATGTTAGAAAGATTCCTAAGGCTCCAGGGAGATCAGATGATTTGCCCATTGTCACAGAGGTAGTTAAGGGAAGAGATGGGATTTGAATTCAGGGTTTTTTTTGCCTGACACATGGTTGATTCTTAATAAATGTTTGTTGATTGACTGATTCCTAACCTCAAATTACCACTCTGTCTCTCTGTAATATTAGTCCATAATATTTTAAAATAAACAAGGGTAACTCAAGACATGAAATAACAAAACTCTGCTCCTCCACTCTGTGTCTCCCAGAGCCTCATGGATCCTCAATACCAGCAGAAACAGTATGATGAGGGTGAGAAGAGATAGAGAAATTCAAAGTGCAGAGCCACCTTCCACATTCTCTTAACATGTCAATAAAAACAGTAACATCAGGGCAGCTAAGTATTGCAGTGAATGGAGCTCCGGCCTTGGAGTCAGGAGGACCTGAGTTCAAATCTGACCTCAGACATATGATACGTACTAGCTGTGTGACCCTGGGCAAGTCACTTAACCCCAATTGCCTCACCAAAAAAAAAAAAAGCAAAAACAAACAAACAAACATTAACATCCAAAGATGTAATAGACATACATCTGCTGTGAAAATTTTCTTTCACTCAGACTTGCTAGGATGGTTCCCTGAGTCGTTTTCAAAAGGCTGCCCTTTGGGTCCCCATGAGTTGTTGAAGGATGATAACATTTCATCCCTGGGGCTTAAGTACTGGATAAGTATTCTGACCTTGAGAAAGTATTAAAAAGAGATGTTTTAATTTTTTAATATCTTAATCAGAAGTAGTAACAAACATTTATTGAAATGTCTGTTTTATGGGTCAATGAGCTTTTGAAGGATGGTACAAGTAGGATGGAAAGGCATACTATATTGGTTTAAATATCACCTATCCCAAATATAAGACATTCCCCTAAAATGAGATTTCTTCATAAGGAAAATAATATGTAGGTATACATTAAAAATAATAGTAGTGTTTATATAGTGATTAATTGTTCATTGACTACTACAGAAACATTTTAGAATTGTGTGTAAAGTAAACCTAAGTAAGTTCTGAGAGATTCTTTCATAAGTAAAATATATGTTCTGTAGTATACGGATTCTGTGATGTCTTCGGGGGTTGTTCAGTGGTCTCTTTCTGGTTGTTACTG